GTGGTGGGCGAGTAGCTATAGTTATGCGTTGTAGTTTATTACAGTTTAAGTAAGATTAAAAGAGATTGTATCAGGAAACTGAGCTATAATGAAACAGCTCAACATGTTTGATTCTACAATAGTATTCCAAATGAATGTAACTATCACCTTTGTCAGCAGCAATATCTGCATCGCCGTACCCCAACATATTGCAGAATATGTGTGTCATCTTCATTTTAATTATTGATCGATACAATGGTCTAATCTTCCTTGACGACATGCCAGTGCGCTGGACTGTGTAAGATAAGGTGATGCACTGCTTCCGACTATGGAGTTAACTTTTCAGATGTGTCAATTATGGCTCAAGGACTTGTAGGCTTTTGCATACTGGTACAAAAATTGAATCGATAGGTTCGCTTTCGATGCCACTACGAGACGATAATCAAGCGGCTTTTAAGCTGCTTGACGGTGAGAGGGCATCAGCAGATGTCATGTATACATTGATTTGCGCTTCAACTTTGTCGGTGTCTTACTTAGTGAGTATCCATTGAAACTCGAACATCGAGAGACTGTGGGAATGCTGCAGACATACTAACAAACGCATTGGCTGCATCGGGATTGAAGGAATCGCGCCAAGTGATTGGTTCTAGCTGTAACGATTGGAGTCGACGTGATAAAGCAGACGTCTAGCGCTTTGTAGGGATAGCGTTGACGAAGCGATGTTGTAAATGGCAAGCTTCAACGTAACGTACCAAAGAAGTGGAAATGTATCATTTCTGGTCATTGAATTTGCGTCAAACAACTGAGTTTCATTGTTTAATAGATTTCATCACGAGAATTCGATAGGTAGGTAGGGAGGGGATGATAATAGAACGAATATCACTCATCTTCTTCTATCTAATCGAGTGTCCTTTGATATTTACGCTATGTTTTGACTTTGTACACACGAGCTATCACAAGGTAATGATTCGTCCCACTTAGTTGTTCATGGACCAACTCTCCTGCTGTGAAAACATGGAGGAGACGAGGGTGGGTGGCCGTCCAATCGCTGGCTCTTCGACGCACAACATGCAAACATTCGCTTTACAGCTGCGCGTGTTCAGCGATACTTGAACATAGTACTTGGCGCTTAAGAGCAATACTTTGTCGATTGAAGAGACAGATGCTCAGAACATTGATGGTATTGACGCTGGCTGCCGCGGAACAGCCGAATCCGAATCATTGGTTAAAGATTGCTGTGTTCTGAGCGCTCCTATTGCTCAATAAGCATATGGTCAACGGGGAATCCGCGGCGCGGCGACCGGTGATAATCTATGAATGACGGGAATACTTGCGTTAGCATTTCAAGAAGCGTCCTGCAATAGTGGCGTGGACGTGAGCTAAAAAAGTGGGTTTCGGGTACGCGTTTTCGGTATGCGCCGATGCGTTGAGGTCTACGTGGGAGAAGCGCGTTCACTGTTTGGGTTGATAAGCATCGTGTAAAATTTGGATATACATGAATTGACAAGGTACAACGCGCAAATTTTGATTGGGTTTTGCAACTCGGCAGTCGATAAGGCGAAATTTCTTGGCACACTTGGGCTATTGCATAGTGTATTGAGCGCTCACCGATGTGAACTAGGTGGCACGCATACAAAATTCGCAACAGCGCCTTGCAGAACGACGTAGCTCGCACCAGATACAAGTATAAAGGAATGACTTTAAACGTCTTCCTGCTGTCGAGACGATATGTAGTACGGCTATTTGCAAGTTTCTGCCATGAATGAACGGAACAGCAGCTTTGTAATCCTAAAAATAACATTTGTAGCGCCACTCCATCAGTACGTGCTTCTCTTGCCACAAAATGACATGACGCTTTCGCGCGCGTATTTACAGGCAAGAGGGGTATAATATGAATCGATTTTGACTGCATGCAAGACGCAGCGGGGCAAAAGAGGCTGTACCGTGGCATGAAATTTACGGAAATTTGCCAATATTTGGCCCGATACTTTGCCCAACTGATAATGATCAGAATTGGGGTCCTGACGTGCTGCTTGATAATTACGGGAGCAGGTGCATCCATACATCAATAAGTCGAGCTACGCCGCTGGAGACTAGAAATATATACGAGCACATCGAGAGTATATAATTAACAGCCAATTTTGAGTCTGGAGAAGTCTGCAACAGAAATAATAAACGCAACCAATCAAGGGATACGCTTAACAATTCACCACAACGAGTCGTACCGGAGGAGTCATGCAGGACCCATGACTTATTAAGCTGGGTGTCATCGTGTTGGGGCTAGCAAAAGCTGAAAGCGACAGAAGACTTATCCTGGTGAAGTAGGGGTACAGTGAACTGTAGCTTGAGTTTAAAAACGCTCGGACAGAGCAAAGCGTTGAATTATGGACATGGTAAGGGCGCGCAGTTAAGTGAGAAAAGTGTTGACAGGCTGTGTCGTCTAGTCGCAGCCTTGATGTGCGAAAAGGTGAAGGGCGAACCCGTTATGGCTTGATTCATTTGATACCTATACCTGTAAGTCACACAAGAAACGCTAGGAACAGGATGCTAAATGATCAATTGAGCAGTCTGCATTTTACCTTCTAGCACCGAGGTTATCAGAACCAGATCAATGGTGTCAACAAAGAAGCATGCGTAAATAAATTCAACGCGCATCAGACGACCTGATCGATTTTTCTAGAGTATGCCGGAGTCTATTGCGTTCTCATGTATGTTCACAACGGGAACAACGTTTCGCTGGGCTGAATATTCGCAGCATTGCTCTTTGGCGAAGCTCCGTTATGCAGCTCGAAAAAGCGCTTGGCAGTCTACAGCGTGATAGTAGACGCCATTAACAATTTTGGTACACGGCAATGATCCAATGCTGCTTACCAGATGCGGGTCATATATTACGTAGCATTGAGACAACTAGACCGTCAATGAGCAGGATGTGGAAAGACACAAGTCGTCGGAAGCTACTGTACGGCAGCAGCTTCTATATTACTGAACAGTCAAGTCGTGGAGCTTAAAGAATCCAGACTCCATCGTACATTGCACACAAAACAACACACCTGGAGACGCGTTATCTAAGTCGACAAATCGTACAACCACCGGACTCACACGAGGAATTGGTGTTGCTAAAACTCATAGCAGTACGTGTGGAAGTCTGGCTGGACCAGATGATATCAACTCGATTGCAGTGCCCAGACGACGATGAAACGAGACGCAAATAGCAGAAGCTTAGCCATAGCATCGCCATGTGTCACTGGCGTCCGGTAGCATTCACAGAGCCTCTACTGACACATAATGATTTATGCTGCTGTATCTCTGAGATAGAGACTAAGAATTACAGCAGTGTGATGTTTTGACTAGAGAATGTGACACCCTAAAGGACCAACCGATGTCAACCACCTAGAACCAGGTATTTTATACAGTATTCACGTGTATTGCAGATATATCCGGTCCCGCTTAGTACGCCAGTTACTCTACAAAGCTAACGCCACCTTTTTTAGCTTCAGGACACCATCAGCACGCTGTTGATGCATGTCGTGCAAATGTAATGCCCATTACTGAGACTGAATATCGCAAATGATGAGTTGCGTAATCCAAGTGCTAAAGATGAACTATCTTCGGCAAAAGTACATCAGACTGCTTCACACGGCCACCAAAAATAACTAAAATGTAAAGCTCAGACAAGGAAATTTTCAGAACCAACAAGTATTTGACTTTAACAGCCGATCAAAACCCCTATCTTTGATGTAGATTTGTTGCGAAATGATCATACAAAGGAAAAACGAATGCTCTGTTGGGACTGAACTTAGTCGAGTTTAGTCCTGACAGAGCATTCATGATATCTAGTTATATAATTCCTCGAAGCTGATGAGGCATAGTACATCGGCATTTAGTCCAAGAGAATGCAGTCGTTGTCACATATACAATGGCGCTTTGTTCAATCTTTTATGGATGCAGAAACAGGCATCAACTTCTCAGTGCCTCAGCTAGCGTTTCAGCATGCGTACGTCCACTCCAGAGAATGCAGCTGAGGAAGTTTGGCATAACAGTGTAAATTAAATGTGAGTGAGCTCGTATAGAGCACTGATCGACCAAGAAAGTCGATTGTTTTTGATCTGTACGACACCGCATGTACTGATATGAGCAAATGAAAGCGCAACCAGATATTTGATAGACACAAATACGATTACAGAGCAGATGCAGTGAATTTCAGGGATCATGCCACGCTGCTATCGATACCATCAAGTGGTGATGAGAACACGGAGTCGTTGTGGCGATGACCAATGAGTTATGGTACGAGCTCAGAGAAACTACTGATAATCATACCATAAATTTGTTGCGCACACAGGCTTGAGATTAGCGATTAGAAAAACTTGAGCTTATTTGACACATGACCATAAATTGTAATGAAAGAACTAATTCCTGATTAGCTGGAACAGCTTGTGGATGCGTGGATGCACCAGCTTGGAGTATGTATTCGAATAACGTTTGTGCCTACATAATACACGTAACTTGTCAAACAGATCCATGTCTTTTTGATCAAGCTACTCATGCACAGAACACGGATCCATGTTTTGGTATCAACTGCTGCCGTGAATTCAGATTTCAGGAGCAGAAGATGAGTGGAAACCGCAATTTGTGGCAAGTTTTTCTGATGCGTAAGCTCTCCAAATTTTGTTATTTTTACAAGGTATACAGCAGCCTACTCAACACAAAGCCTTGCGGCGAATCGTCGAACAACTCACACGCAGAATCTCAATGTTGCGTTGCACAATACAACTTTAGCCACTAAGGGTGAAGGTGGACTGCACAAGCATTGCCTTGAACCGGTGAGAAGCAATAACAGTGGATGTGGAAGACCGTGGTGCATGAATTCAGATCTCGTATTCGTTGTACATTGCTCTAAGGAAGGCGCTACCCAGAGGCTCGCTCGGCATCTACCTTTGATTGATGTACCCCAAGTCTCTGTTCGCCTACAAAACGGTATCTTGTTAGTACAACCGCAAGTCGTCAGTTTTTCGCTCGTAGCTTCATGCTTCATCGTCTTTTGTCTCAAACGGCCATGCGGCCGTAATCTTCGCTTTGAAATTCTGGTCATTCATCGGCGTGTTGGCTTCGCCAAAATCTGTTTTGTTCAGAGCGAGGCGTGCACAGTCCGACAGTTGGTGCCACATGACGAGGTCCTGGTACTCCCCAGCATCCTCCGTAATGTTGAGGGCGTGATTCAGTGGAAACGAGTGCTCGTACTTGATCATGACACTAGATCCATCGATGAAGTCCTCAGGGCAGGGTGCGTACTTGATGTAACCGCTGTGCCACGACGTGGAACAGCCCAAGATCTTCGGATTCCGACCAGCGGGGTTATCAATGAACAGCACGATGTTTTCCCAGTCATGCCGGTGACCCATTAGTGATATGGGCGAGTCCTTCGCGAAGTACCACGCGTACATGATAGCCCAGATGTCATCGACCCAGATAGCGCGCCCATAAACTTGTGACCCGTGCTTGGATCCTTGGCATCCACTGTCCGGTTCACCAGAAGGTTTGAGACCACCGCTGGTCTCGCCAGCATCGTTTACGGCAGGGTACGGCTGGCAGCCCGTGTTGACAACGAGCCTGGGTTTAAACATGACTCCAGCCCTTTCGGTGACCGTGTTCGGCTCCGACTCAGGGTATGGCTCGACGTCTTCGTGTCCGATTACCGTAGGCTGCCACTCTCCGTCCAGTGGCTCTTGCTCGTGTTGCTGCGTATCGCCGCCTTGCGCATACGCCTCTTTCGCGTGGGCTGGGAAACCCGCGACGACCGCAGCGATGATAAGCGCGTCCAACTTCATGGCGAGCACTGAATGCGGGCGGGACGGAATGTGGGTCGTGTCCTGCGTGGAAAATTGATGATTGAGGCACGCGCGGTTGCGGGCGAATTGACTTGTCCAGAGTTCAGTGTGCTAACTCTTTAGCGCTTTGTCCACAGACTGCAAGTTTCGTTCCTACGACTTGCTTGAATGCGTCTCTACGCCCAAGAGTTAAACCGTCACATTGTAGGGTATGTTTATGCTCTACGCGTTGTGACGATGCGGCGAAAGAGACCAACGGTCACTGCCATATGGTCCGTGCTGCATTGGTCATTGGATGCTGAGTGTGCGATTTTGACAGTCTAGCGGTAATTGTGCTGTCTGCGTAAATATGGTCTCTTCTGGCAGGGACGACACAACGTGCGAGAAGGTAGGAAACGGAAGAGAAAAAGGATGGCACTACCATTTCTAGGGCGTTTGTAGGTTTGCTTGCCTGTACAGCCAGTGAAGTGTTGGTCGAACGACCTGGTACGTTCCCCTTCGGCTAGGACCAACACATCCCTTCCCGGCCGTGGCCATCGTGCCACGCGTCGGGGTTTCTGCCGGATACCTGGGTGCCAGCCAGTCCAAATAGCCCCAGCAAATCGTTGTTGGGGGTTCTCGCTTTGTCGAGAGGTCTCACTCGCTCGTTTAGGGTTTCCGGGTGGTACCAGCCAAGCTGGTGCGACCGTGGGTTGGTGGAGGGAAATTTGTAACGTCTGTTTGCTGGGCCGGTCGGTTCTTACCCAAAGCACCGGGAAGTACCCCTGAGGAGTGATCATTTAACAGGGTCGTCGTGAGAGGGCATGCATTGAAGAATAGCCCTCGCAAAAAAGCCACTGCTTGCCACCTCGGAGATACGGAGTGTGTATACAGACGCCTGTAAAATCCATGGCGTGCCCTTTATGTCCACAGAAGCTACTAGGATTGACGAAGCGGTAGGTTGGTCCCGAGTGATCAAGCGACACGCGAAAACCGAGTGAGTGCATGCGATTCAGCACGACCCACATATACAATCTTGCACTATTGTAAGCAGGTATCACTTGCCGTACGACTTCATTTTGGTGGAATTTGAGACAGAAGCTGACATTCGCATAAAAGCGTGTCCGGACGCTGGCGTGGAAGAACATATCTCTGTGCCAAGAGCGGGGAGGGCTGACACTGCTGTTGAATCCATGGCCATGGTCGCATATCATACCGGCGAGCGCATTGGCAAGGACGTGGCTTTCTGGCTGGATTTCCGGGAAGTTCAAGCGCTGTGGATCAACATACAGATAGTAAGCTTGATGAAGCTCGTTGTAGATGTTCGGCGGTTCGTCGGCGTCGAAATGCGGTGATGGTATGACCAAGTGCAAGCCCGATGTGCCTAATGATAAATAAATTGACCTCGCGCGTTTTGATTCACCTCATCGCTATGAGATGATCGCCTTCGAGCCCTTCTAGTTGACATTATAGCTATACGATGGCTAGCTATGTAGACGTTGGATTCAGATTCTTGCTCATCGATAGCGCATGTATTGTTGAAGCTGCCGGTATTGATGCCGGTGTCGACGCTATAATGCAACAAAGACCACGGCGTCCGTTGGCTGCGACTTCGATGCGCGATTTGAGGATAGAAACACCACGGTTTCGTATTGCGATACCATGCTGTACAATGTGTGTGCCCTGGTGAAGTATCAACAATTGGTACAAAATTTAGTGGTTTGACCGGCATTTCTGCGTGGAACTCACCTAGCCAGGCATATAACAGGACGGCTTTCATTCGTGTGTTTAAGATTACTGTAGCACTAGAACCGTTTTAAAAACAATCTTCTTCTGGAAGCAAGTTAGCCTTCTTTGCTACCCAATGATGAACGGCTCGCGCTGACCTGATCCATCTACGTTGTTTTTAGAGCGATGTCCGCACATTTTTTATATTTAGTTACCTTCACTGAAGCCGAGCGATTGGATGGTCTGACTGGAGGAAGCAGAAGCGTCCAGCTTATGATGATATCAGCGATCGATGGCCATTTAAGCTTCGTCGGAGCTATAACGCTGCGCAGTTGTTTTTTATGCGCTTTTACATATCCCTTAATGGTTGGCGCTCACCGCTTGAAGCCATGGCGGTTCTGAAATGCGTGGAGGCAGTCATTTGATAATCGTATCTGGTTGGCTTGGACACGGATCAGCGTCGCAAGCCGCGTATCAATCGCATCGACTGAACCAGTACTTAGCATCACACGGCTTCCCCATTTCATGACCTGGCTGACAAGATTTTCATTGACAGCTGTAACGACAAGCGACCGTGTTTGATCGCACTCGTCGTCAATTTAATTTAATTTTAAAAATACTTATTACGCTGACTCAAGATCCCATGTACTGTATCCTGGCTGGTGCCTGACAAAGTTGCAATCTAACATCGTTCTTGTCGCAAGTTGCAGATTCCTTGAACGTATTCACTTAAATCGCTTAGGCAGATCTGCCACTTCTGATCGAACGTCAGTTTTACAAGTTGCGTCTGGCCGTGACGGCATAGTAGTGGTTATTGAAGGTTTCGTGTTGATGGGCTTGTGACCTAGGGCGGATGGAAAGGTGGTCTACCACGAAGTAATGATCTGTGTAGTGCGCAGGAAGTATAAGATACTGAATAGCTTTGGTATCCTGTCAATTTGATAATCTATGATCGACTATGCGTGTTCTATCAGCATGTATGGCAAAATGTTAAATTGGTCTGTGGTGAAATAATTAGTATAAGAAAAGAATGAGCTGGTGACGTACTTTATATACACATTGACGCATGATTTGGACCGTTCAGCCATTCCCACATGTTGACTAACATACATCTTATTTTCATTATTGGTTCGTAGCTTTGCGATTGCTACCGTCGGCAATTGTAAATCGAGAAGAACGTCTGCGTTGATGGTTAAACGTATCCTGATCGTGTCATCTATATTTGTCTGTACCATCACGTAGTAAGTTTCATTTTTAAACATAACATGATCAAACATAGCAATTAATGTAGAAGTAGTCTATGGCTGTGTCAAGGTTTGAATGGGAAAAAGACAAGGCAGTGCAAACGGGTCGCTTAACAATTTTATGCGTATTGTATATGAATCGTGACATAAGGTGACATTGGATACCAAAACAATTAATCATGGATGGAAAAGAATGTTACCGGATATCTGACAGATGCTTGTCGGTGCTTTTTTGTATGATCGTGTATATCTTGCAAAAGAGTCGACGGAAAAAAGTCGTGCCCAGAACGTGGGTTCTCCGAGCACCAACACCGAAATATTATGAGCAATTTCTGCAACAACAATCACTAGAATATAGGCTGATTGACGACGGATGCGTGCCATCGGCTACAACAAAGGCCCTCATGCTCACAAATAATTTATACCAGTTCAGTTGACGTAGTACTCAATGTATGTTGACAATTCCAAGTCGAATATACCTCTGAGTTGGCGTCGGCGTAGTATTTCTGTTTGTGCAGTTTTTTGTGATGAAAAAGCCGATTTTCAAAAAAAGTTTTAATGTATTTACCATGCAAGTCTACCTTTTCATACATCATCATATTGGCGATGGAAAAAACATCACAGCAAGAAGCTGTGCATCAATTTTGTTTTGTTAGATTATGTGTATGTTACTGGAAATTAGCTGTGTTCTATGTAGATAAACTAAAATACCCGATCGCACCGATGTGATCAGTTTCGTATTCGACCCGTGATTTGTGCTCGACCACATAACAGAGAGAAATATAATGTAGTAATAGTGGAAAACTATCTTAAGAATGCTATTTTATGGTATCGAAAATCATATTTAGGCGTCGAGCTACTTGAACGATGTACTAAATATGCATACGCATTACTTTGCATCATATACGAACAAACAGCACCTTGGACATGTTCATACCCACTCACACGATCGTTTTCTCTTTTATTAAAGTGGCCAAAGGTATGAAGCAATGTATTGATCCATGTGCAATTCATTGCACCAACCATTGACTTTATTTCACTCTCAGCCAGGACGTTCCCAATTGTCACTCACTATTTCTCTATTTCGCGCTATCTAAGTTGAAGCTTTACAAATTTCTATTGCAGCTTATCGTGATCGGGCTCCTCCACATGTTAGCACCCGCAGTTTTTCTGTACAAATGGAACATCACAAACAAACGTAATAGATTCATACTTAATCAATGCGGCTTCTATTAAAATGTCGTATACGAACGTCAAGAAATGTTGATGGATAACTTGTGACATGGACTTTCTCAACCATAGCTAAATTATCCTTTCCTTATCGTAGAAATTCATGAGCGATTGTAAGCTAACAATTCTTGTTGTCGCTACACGAGTATCGTTCAATTTGTTTCCACAACTGAATTCATTCAGTGTGATGTTTTTCTCTCTTGAGCAGATTGCAACGATGAAGCATGCTCTAAAGCACTGGCTAATCTTACGTACTCTGCAGCAGCTGTCTAACTGTTTTCTTGGCAAAATAAACATGAAAGAAAGACCATTTGTCATATATAATGGTACCAACCCACTTCGATGACACATCACACTGTTTGTCCAAAGATTTTTATCAGAAAGAAGACCGAGTTTCATAACACGATCGGTTTGCACACCATGTTCAACATGGTCAAAGTGATTATATTCAGCGCATTGATCCATTTTGTATCGATTTCTCACGTTTTCCTTCCAAAGCCATGCCAACGGAGTGCTGTTCAAGTACGATAAAAAGGCTAACGACTCTTTAGAGATGTTCTCTTGTGTATGCGATATGGTGGTACATTTTACGAACACCTTCGATAAAAATGTAAGTAAACAAGTTATAACACTTTTCAAGCAAAAGTTTTGACGTTTTTACAAAATTCTCCTGCGTAGATCCATTGTTTCATTCCAAAATTGCGAGTAAGATATATGTATTACAACATAGTGCGTTACGTCCATGAAAAATGTCAGCCACTAGCAAATACTATTTGCGGCCCCGACTAACAAAAGGGGTGCGTTCTGTTAGTTTCGAAGGCACGCTAAATGCTTTTTACAAAATTTTGCTTCTCCGACTACATTTGCAATTCACGATTTAATGCTTGACATTTTGACTTTGCATATTCACTTTTGGCGTGCGGACACGACAATACTTGTTATTTGTCGTCTCCAAGCAAATCAATATTTATCTTTCTATAGTCTGCAAACAAACTTCATGTAGGCGGTATAGAGCTGCTAGCCTTAAGCTCCATTCGGAACATAACGAAAGGCACCGACACACAGAGATAAATATGCTATCACAGGCTGCAGAATATGCTGCATCCATTTCAACGTTGCTCACATACTGGGTCATGGAAGGATGTTTGTGTATAGAAGGAAGCGAGTATAAACTTTTGGCGTACCGAGAGGTGTTTAAACACGCAAAATAGTTAGTGATGAAACAATCATGTAGTGTGCAGAATGCTTCGCTATGCTGTCCGTAACTCAAATCAACGCAAAAAGAAGCTGAAATATCTACTGAACTTGATTTGAGCTCAATTTGATAGCGTATACAACAACTTAGCACCCTGTCCTCAAAGAACCTGCTACATTGACGTTACTTGTCGTCGCTTTCTACTGCAAAAATTGCATGTGCCGAATTGCAAGTAGCACGATAGGCTAATAAATTGTAGAGAGAGTGGGGTTTCGTCATACTGGTAGCCACATATTGTTCAAAAAGCGATAGACGAAATTAAGCCATCTTTCAATCTAGTGATTGGATCGATTGACCGTTCAATTATTACTTAGATTAATCCAGGCAAATGTACAAATACGTCGTGTTGCTACATTGTTAATATTCGAGTTTTCCTGCGATCACACACGAAGACGGTAGTTGCGTCGTATAAATTATATTGTCAGGGGACAGGGTACTCGCGTGTCAATATGTTTTGTAGTGAAGCAAGCTCAGTGCTGAATGGATACAAAACTCAATTGATACCGTTCGGCCACCGAAATTGCCATTTCCTTGGATTTCTGCTACATTTTTGTGTGATTAACGCGATGCTAACATATATTGATAATGGATAGCTTGTGTTGTAATCTACGCATAGGAACACTCGAACGCAATTTGATTTATTATTCACCGGCATTTAAGTTTTTAATCTTGTGGTTTATTTTGAAACCTCAATACGGCTTGATAGTTTTCCCTCCCCTTCTGTTCGTAGAAGCAACTACAGTATCACCTAGGGGCAACATTAGGCGGCAGTTGACAACCCGGCTGTGCATTGACTGCTAACGCGATTATACTTGTCCGCACATCCACAAAGAAAATGACAGACGCGCGCAACGACTTATAACGAAACGTTGTGAGGTAAACGTCGTTGGTTGCAAATGTCGTACCGAGTAAAGTGTTTAGTAGACAAAAGCGTTTATTCTTCTTACCAGCGCTGATGCCATTGTATTGTACGGCTCATCAAAAACAGTGAAACTACCAGCCTTTTTCACGCGATACATGAGACGGTTTTATACGTAGGCGCCATACGTTAGTACGATACTTGAAAAGAAAGCAGTCAAGCGACATACTTGAAGCCGGGTCTGATTAGTCGTGAGTTTACAAACTATTGCTTTACGGACTTTCGGGTAAAATGATGGCATCTCTCCTATCCTCCAATCCCAGCACTACTTTTAAGAATGCACTTATCTCGCACAGCAGTTTACGTGCATGAGGGTTCAATTGCACGTGTATACGCTGGAACTTCACCTTTGTCTCCAAAAGCCGAGCTTGCCTTGTTGCAACTGAAAACTCAGCCCCATCAGGCCATCAAAGATGCTGACAAGGGAATAGAGGGACTTGATGCAGGTGAACTACCAATGCCATCCTGGCAACGCCGGACCTGACCGAATGGTTTGTTTGGATCTGAAAAGCTCCTTTCTTTATTGTTAGGTCTTCCTTGATATCGAAAGCAGCTCTGATCTTGTAAGTCGTGGCTAACTCTCTGGAGATAGTAATGCGAAAGCTTGATACCCTGTCGTTCATCTACAGACGTCCGAAGTTATTGAAAACGACAAATAAGTTCAACGCAGTCGTAGACAGCAGATGGTAGGTGCATACAAATGTGATCTGCCGTGTCAAGCCCTTGTCAGACGGATGAGTTTCCAAAAGTACGATTGGAATTGTCGAAAGTGGTACCAAAGGAGCGGAGAATTGTTGCCGGATGCCAAACGCCGTCGTTCATCTTATTGCATTCGTCGAATCTGATCAAAACATCAAAATATAGCAATGGTAGGAGGTGACTAAATACTACAGCATATTAATTTTGCGAATAATTACTGCAGCTTTTAGTCAACACGCAATCGTCTGAACACACCAAAAACCTGCGTACACCTCTTTAGAGCAATGAGTGATCACTCATTAACTTCCCCACGTGAATCGACTTTAGTCTGCTACACTCTGCCAGCTGCGTGCACTTGCAGCGACTGACTGTATTCGTGGAAAGATGGTCCTGTCAAAATAATTGAAGTTCTACCTCTCTAGCAAGTAGGCTGGTGGCAACACAGGTCGGATGTAAGAGGTCCGAAAGATGAGGACGTGAATTCGGTCGTCATTATCTAGTCACGCGCCCGTTCGTACAAAAGGCGCGAAGACTCAACGCAAGAACGCAAAGTACCGTAAGACATGATGCACACACAGCGTGAGGCAAGTCTCGTTTATTACCCCAACAGTGTGGTGGGGAAAAAACAATCTACTTGGCAGGGCGATACGTTTCGTACGCTCCTCGGACTCTGTCAACGGCAATATAATCATCGCGCAATACCGAATGATCCAGGTTCCAGTCCAGAGGAAATCTTTTCGGATCCACGTTCGCCTTCGTCCACGCTTCAAACTGCACCTTTTCCATTGACTCCGCGTTTCTTTTTGCCGGCGGCGTCCCGAAGTCCTTTGCAAGCTGAATCAGGACGGCCAAATCTAGATCGTTGGAGATTATCTCCTTGTACTCCTTGTACACATCATTGACCGCCTTGCTAGTCATCTTGCCGGTTTTCAGCGAGTACTTTTTCAAGAACGAGGGACGAGAAAACATCATGTCGGCGAGTGTGTGGTACTCATTGAAAGAGTAGCCACGATTTACGCCTTGATTAGCTCTGCTCAATTCCTTCATCGCGACAACATTATTCCAAATATGGGCCAGTTCTTCGTCAGCCGTGATCTTCGTGGTCCCGGCTGATGCTGCCCAGTGATCGAGAGACTTACGTATGTCGTCCGCGTGTGTTCTTGGATTGCCTTCATTGAGCGTCTTGCCCCCTACTGAGGCTGCCGAAGGAAAGAAAGCGTTTCGCATTTTGTCCAGCTGTTTCGCCACATTATTGGCAGCCTTCTCAACTCTGGATGGTAGGGCCCAATCTTCTTCCGCTTCCTTTTCGACGATACGGGCATCCTGCAGCTCATTCGGAGGCCCGTGCTCGAGGACGTGGATGTCGGACGCCGTGACGTTTGACCCCTTCGAGGCCGAGACGAGACCAGGGCGAGCGTACAATAGAACACTCACGACGAGCGCAAAGAGGCGACAGTATCGCATGGTGGATTGCGACCGATTGCGGACGGTGACTGGGCACTTGAGCGCAAGTTGGAAAGTGAGTCGAGCGATGTGGATAATGGGGCGACCTGTGGAAATTAGAGCAGAGCACCAGAACGGCCTGTCATTGGGCGAGCTGTTCTGGTGCTCTACGGTGTCCAGTTCCATCGTCGTACGCCGTGAGGGCCGAGTGGTTGTGTCATTCGGAGAAAATCCAGTGAACAAAATGGCTGCGCCAAATCTGCGCGGCAGTTGCTCTCGTGCTGCTATTCCTTTCCCATCTTTGGCCGTATCTCCTGTCGGAAGAACTTCACAGCGCTACAACATTTGCATTTCGTCTCTTCTTCATCTACATTGCACAGCCCTACAAGTACATGTAGTTCCACGCTCGTAGTTGCTACTGCGCTGCAAGGGCGACTATAATACCCGAACGTGATGACATCTCAAGGGCGTACATCATGGAGAGGTCAGATCGTCTATTAGGGCTACTTGTCACTCGTAAGATGTCTGTTGTGTGAGAACCACCTCGGTCATCTACCATGACACGAACTTTCTCCTACCACGTTTCTCATTCTGCTGGCTCGATGCTCCAGACGTCACGGGGGACACTCTCAAAAGGCCACGTGATAACGACTGTCGACCAAGTTCGGGGTTAGAACTTTGTGCGCACTTTTGGCCGGATGGCTGGGCTGCGCGTCGCTTCGCGCTTCATCTGCTTCAGGGGACAGAGGACGCATGGCTAGGAGGCCTGTTCCGCTTAGGAAGTCCTAGCGTGCCATCTTGACGTAATCCCTGGCCGCTTCCGTGGCGATCGACTTGCTCTGCTCTTGGGCCGATCCCATTGCACAATCTAGTGCAGACGTGCCCAGGCGCACCACGAGACGAAGAGTATCGTGGCCTGGTGCTTACTCTACATAAACGACCGGTACTTGACCTCAACAGGTCATCACGCTCTTAGGAGAGTTCACTTCGTGGGAGTGGGTATCGCGCGCAGCGAACGAGTCGGCGCGAGGGGAGGCACTTCGTGAAGAGCAGGAACTAACGAAGGCACGGGGATGCCGGAGGATTGCTTCCCTCTCGGGTCGCACGCTGCGTTGTCTCCCGTTGCACGCGCAGCGAAGAAAATGCCTCCCCCCTTTTGACCTTGGCCCCACTAAGGGGGACTTCCCGTCCAAGGTAAAGGGGCCAGATGCCTGGCTCTTGGGAGGTCTTCGTCTCGGTCCATTGTTGCTCGAAGAGCCTAAATTGGGAAGTATCTCAAGGGCGTACATCATGGCACATAGTGATCGCCGGTCGAGGCCTTTTCTTGTGGCAGGTTGGCGCAGTTCGCGGGCAAGCAGATCAGACCGCCGAGTTGCGAACGGGATGGGCAAAGTCGCTTGCACTCTGAAATGCTGAGCAGCATCTGATGGGTACGACGAGTCTGCAACATCGTGAGGACCGAGGAGAACGTAGAATTGGCGCAAGGCGACTTCTTTCTGCTTCCGGTCCACATGACGTCGACTTTATGGTCGAGATCGCTGGCTGTGGCTGATATTTTTGGGTTATGGCGGTGCGCAGCAGCGCTAGAACTCGGTGCGAGTGATGGTCAGGGGGGCAGTCGCCATGACGCACCGAGTGCAGAGCATCACGCGAGTGGGAAGCTTTCTTGTCGCGTACTACTCGTACCGAGTGTCCGAATATTGGAGACTTTAACAAGGGCCGAAAGCCCGATGTAGCGTCCAGTTACGCGGTTTTACATCCGACGCAAAGGGGATCGGGCGAAGAACGCCACGGTCGGCTCGTGTGCGGACACTGCTCAGCATGTCTTTTCGCGCTACGTACTGGTCCAGCACACTGGCGAAGTTTCCACTTTGCATAGAGCGACTGGTGAAGAACAGAATGGACTGCAAATCACTACGGCCAACGAAGACAAACGTCCGACAGGGTCCGAACTTCAAGCTGTGCGAATGGATCGTCTTTAATCTCACCGATGACGGCAAGTCGACAGCGGAGACGCTGTTACGTTCGATCTCGGGCCTCGCGGCGTCAGCAAGTGGCAGGCGACACGTAGCACACTCTTCTTGAGCAACGGCGACCCTTGGCCGTCAACTGACAGGGACAGAAGTTGCTCGGTATCAATAGGATCAATAGAACGATAATGCGTTGCCGAAACGCAAATGCTGAGCTCAAGAGTGGCGATCACTAGACGACTACTCTGTATCAGTTGTATCGCGACTGCTGTCACTGGACTGTGCCGTTCTGCAGTACTTTGACCTCGTCAGGTCTATGGTCTACCACTGGATCTTCCACGCATGTCTCCGTTTGCATGCAGATAGCCGCGCGCGCCTCTTTTCTATTCAAGCTATTGGCCGTGTCACGGTGTTGTTCCGGCGACATGGCTTGTCGATTCGGGCCAGATTGGACGCGCATCACGCTCGTATGTCTGTAGGGGCGAGCAGTCAGTGGGACGGTGACGAATGGTTAATTTCATACCATCAAACGTTTCCTGACCATCCCGCTGTTTCTGATCACCGGATGGATACATTAGCCGCTTTCTGGGGGCGCTTTCACTGGGATGGCAATCCTTGGATTCAAGGGCCAGACGGCAAGCCCCTAGAGCGGGCCAAATATGCCCGGATACCTCCATGTTCACTGCGCAGTCTGTGCATTCGGCGACTGGGGTCACATGAATTTCAATTTACGTTCCCGTCTCTCGGCGGTACTCCGTCTCGGCATATGCATTGTAAATTACAACGTTGGGCGACTTCGATCCTGCTCTCGTCACCCCACCTTGCTGTCGGTGCGGGACCGGTAGAGCCCGGGCTCGTCTTACGTCATCCACCGCCGTTTCGGCGCGCTTATAAATGGTCCCGGGTACGAGCTGATTTAATTGTCGGGTCATGTCGGGACCCTGTCGAGTCCGCGAACTCGGCGATTCGCCTCCGCCAAGATGTCAATGGAATCCATTGGTCGATTGACGGGAATTTACCAGAATTAAGGGGGTCGCCTGAGCAAGTGTCTAACTACTGGGAGCATTCGCACCATCGTACCTTGGTGTTTCATGCCCACCCGGAGCTTCACCGTTTCCCTTGGAGTGTGCCAGAGACGGTGGCCAATGTAGATGTGTGGACAACGCTTATGAAGCAAGCGTTTCACGTTCATAAACGCCTTCTGCACCCTGGCCTCCAGTCCTGGTTGAAGGCCTATGACGCGCAGGCGGTATCGAATAGTTGGCAGTCAGCTGCATCAAATCAAACGCCTTCCCAAGTTTGGAAACACGCAAACGGGCTAACGGAGTATCAAGTCTGGACATGCTATCGTATCGCGACAAAGCAGCTAAATCTATACCATGCCGGTCGCACGCTGGACAACAGTTGTCGTACGGTGCTGCACTGCCGGGGACGCAAAGAGACAGCGGCGCACATTTTCTGGGAGTGCCCAATCGCGCGAGCGTGTTGGTGTCACTTGATAGGACACTGGACCGGTGGGGGTGCGACGAACGCAGTTCTTTCCACCTTCTTTCAGCACTGCGCCAATCGCAAAGCCCCGCCCATTCCACGTCAGCTGAGTTTGCGGTTGCAAAGCCGTTTTCAAGATGACTCTGACGCCGCAGCAACAGAATTCGAACGGATCTGGTTCATATTAAGCTCCATCTGCCAAGAACATTTGTGGACCGAGCGGAACTCGGCGGTCTTTAGAGGAGCCGTGACTACTCCATCCGCAAGTGTCCAAAGGTACTGGACACGCGGTGTTCGCCAGCTACGGGCAATTGCAATACGCGAGCATCGAGCCGCGGCTACGGCCGTACGAGGGGCCCGACTTCATGCCTGTCTTGAACTACTGATTCAAGAGCCCCGTGGACACCCGCCCTACGCGGGTGTCAGCCACGATCCGCTGCCGCGACCGGCGCTCATATCCTGGCTCAGGATTTTTCAGACCTCTTGTCCACATTAAATATGTCAATAGATGATCATGAAACTCCTCCTCCTTCCGGCGACATGGCTTGGCATTTTTCTGGGGAGAGGCGAGACGGCAGCAAGTGAAACGGACATTGGCAGCAAGTGAGTTAAATATACATGCTTGGCCCTTTTGTGCCCGATGTTACCATACTAAATAGCTACCAGCTCCCACCGTGCCTCTATTGAGGCTTTTCTGAAGGACCAAGTGCAACGTCACCAGGAAACAAATTGGCAGCCTGGCATTAGCAGTGTATCGGATGTCTTCGCAGACAATACTCTGACGCAGCACAGTGCCCATTCAACATCTACGTTACGTTTGCCGCCCACGCAAGGCGTCATGCATTTGTTGTTGATTCGATGAGGGTAATAGCGTTAAGGCGTCGAGGCTACTAGCAAATTACGCGAGCCAGAATACGCTGGTTCCAATTCTGACGTACGACCCTTGGAGCCAAGTAGCACAGTGTCTACGCTCACTTCAGATGCACTTTGTGCCCACCAAAGCTACTCCAGAGAAGTGCCTCTCATGTCGGGAATCATGATGCAGCCACACTTCAATTCACTCAAGCGCAGCACACCGATACAAGTTCTGGTTCTGATTATAATGATATCCAACGCAATTTGTATGAGCAATATAGAGTGCAAGTTGCTTGAAGCCCACCGGTATAAAAAACCGTGTCATTAGTCTGATACGCAGATCAGTGAAGCACCACCACACTTGTCTTCTTCTAGCTACACACACACTCACTCGTACACTATCCGTCATTGCGCTCCGCCACGCGCGTGTTGCGGACGTTCGTGCACGCAACCCCATCCACTGCAACGACAGCATCTAGCGCCTTCACTTGCTGCCACACGCGACTGCCTCGTCAACTGCGACTTCGCTTCGAGCTGCGACTCCGGCTCGGCTTCCGACTGCGACTGCGTCCACGCAGTCGACACCGAATTCGCCTAAATCTTCGACTGCGACTGCAGCCTCAAAACGGCGACGCGACTCGCCGCCGCTTTAACGTCTGTGTGTACGACTGACACGTGTATGTCAATTTGCGAGTACATATAGCTGCA